ACGCGCACCGCGCGCGGGGGGGGGGGGATCCCCGCGGCGCCGCGCAGGGCTCGCCCTTGGCGCCCTCGGCGCGGCGCGCGGCGACGCGAAGCTCCTCGAGGCCGCGGCCGGGGCCGACGCGGACGTCCGCGGCGCGCTCGGGGCCCTGCGCCGCCGCCTCGACGCGGCCGAGGCTCGCCGCGCGCCCGTTGAGCTCGCGGTGCCGTCCCCCGCCCACCGCACCGTCGCCGCAGCGGTCGCCGACGCCGCGCGGAGCGACACGGGCGCCGTCGTGCGCGTAGCGCGCGCGGCCCGCGCCGCGGCGCGCGCGGCTCGCGCGACGTGCGCGTCGCAGGCGCGGACGCTACGACGAGGCGGTCGCCATCCGGCGCATCGCCGCCGCCGATCCCCGCGGAGGGGCGGGCGTCGCCGTCGTCGCCGCGGACGCCGCGAGCGACGCGGCCGAGTCGCCCGTCACGCTCCGTCGCGTGACGATCGCCGGCAGCGGCGGCGCGCTCCGGGGTATCGTCGTCGACGGCGGCGTCACCGTCGAGGGGGGGACGTCCGCGACGATCACGCGCTGCGTCGTCCGCGCGCCGCCGGTGCCGTTCCCGCGCGCGTCGCCGGCCCTGCGCGTCGACGCTGGTCCGCGAGCACGCAGGCGCGACGAGGGGCCCGCCGCGGCCCGCAATCGTCAACCTGGGTGACCTGCGCGTCGAACGCTCGGTCGTCGAGCGCGCTGAGGACGGCGTCCTGAACCACGGGACCCTCGCCGTCGTCGATAGCATCATCCGCGACATCGAGCGCGATGGTCTCGCCCGGCGCGGAACCCATTGGGGCGTTGTTTCTAGCCGAAACCGCTGCGAATCATCGTGTTTTGATTGTCGCAGGCGTCGTTTCCGAGGCCAGCGGCGCGACGCTCGCGGGCACGACACTCGAGCGAATCGGCCGGAATCCGGTCTCGGGAGACGTGGAGATCGGGAGTCCACCAAAGTCCGTTGGGGTGTCCTTTCCAGCTGGAATACGGTGAACCATCGTGTACCAACAGCGACCGTTGTGAACGTTTTGTCCAGCGACAGCGACGACGATTTGCGGCGGCCGCGCCCGCACCGTCGTTCACGGCGCCCGCGCTGTCGGCCATGGCACCCGCGCCCGCGCTGTCGTTCGCGGCTGTTGGCGACGTCCGCGCCCGCGCCGGTCTCCGCGCCGTCGGCCGCGCCCGGCCTCGGCAGCGGCGGCGATGCGCGCGGCGAGAGTTAGCTTCGGGGGAACGACGTAAGTTATCGGGCTCGGGGAGTCGAGCCGGGGCATTTACGGCACGGAGCCATCGCGATGCTCGTCCGAGTCTTATGTGTGCGCGCGCCTGCTCAGTCCTGCGCGGCCTTGAACGCCTTGATCGCCTTGATGATTTATTATTATTATGGGTGCTTTAACGTGGGACTAGGTCGGCGGCCCGTGGGCGGCCGACGGCGCACGCGGATCAGGTCGGATATCGTGAAGATGACGCGGCCGAGAGCCGAGGTGTTCAGGTAACCGGAGTCGCCCGCCCAGGACGGAACCAGTTGAGGTCTGTCGGTCAGCCCCTCACAACGGACTGGACAGTGGGGAGGTCACGGTAGCATAGCACTGGCCGACCCCGTGACGAAACGGGTCGGACTCCGACCTGCGAAAGAACGCAGGGCAGGACGACGGAGGAACATGAAGCGCGGAGCCGAGTATCGACCACACCCGGCGACGGACAGGGACTGAATATCCGCCGCAGGGTGCCGCGGACGAACCGCCACGGCAGCACGGTTCAAGAATCGTTCGTCGCGAATAAAAGTCACGGTAGCGTAGGGGACGCCGGCCCCGTGACAACAAGCCGGGCTCTCGGGCACTCGAAACGGCAGCGGCCGAGGACGACGGGAGAACCCGGGAGGACAGGAGGCATCAAAGAACCAAGCAAGTCAGACCCAAGGAAAAACCGTCGCGTTTCTGGAGGAGGAATTTGGCGGAAGAACACGAATCGTGGCACGTAGAGAAGCAGAACGAGGCTGCGTGTCGCTCCACCCACATTTACGGCTCCGAGACGGCTGGTTCGGCAGGCATCGCTTCGTGGGAAAACCGAACGCGGCGGAACTTGCTCGGAGAGACTCGTTCCGGAGTCGACGGCGGCGTGTGCCCAGGCTTGCGGCGCGGCGGAGGCTGGCCCTGTGAGATCGGCTGAAGCGGCGGTCCCCACGCGAGCGGCCGTCGGCCGTCCGGCACGAACCCAGCAGCGAGCATGCACTTCAGGGCGCCTCCCGACGGCGCCCCTGGATGATGCATCGCGTAGTGGTGCGTGAGGTACCGCAGGGCCACCGGCGCGGAGCATGTCGCGGCGAGTCCCTCGGCACGAAAGGTGGGTCGGGCCTCGCTTTGGGAGCCGTGTGCGGAAACAACAGCGCGCATGGGTCCAGGATCCACCGCGACACGTTAAAGCTCGTTTATCTTTGCATCGGGACCTAGACGATGTGCGAAGGCGGCTCGTGGCGCATGAGAAAGGTGATAGCGGCCTGCCGATTGCTATTGAAGTTCGCGCAATCGCAGTTGTTTTGTAACTATGCCTCGCATGTCACCCGCGCGAAACTTGCCTTCCGCGCGAAAATTGCCTTGAGGGTTGTCATGTGCAAACCAGTCCACGAGTATCTCGTGCAGGTAGTTTTTTCCATGGCACACTGTATGTTATCCTAGGGGTCTCTGGATGCTGGACTCCAATGACACGAAAAGGGGGCTGTTGTACAGCACAGTAAAGAAGGTGCAATTTGGACAAAGAAAACATCAACTTTAGTGGCAACCTAGCGGAGCTGAAGAACAAAACCACAGGAGCCGCCGAGCCACCATCCCCGAGGGACCCCTCGCATCTGGGAGGACACCGAAGCTCGCGGGCGGGTGCGCCCCGGAAGTCGTCCTGTGGTCCTACCGAAACCATGGGTTTC